TATATAAGAATTTGATAAGAATCAGGTAAGATTCTTACGTGAATCTTATTGGGTACTTATAAGTTTCTTATAAGATTCTTAACTGATGCTTATATAAGAATCGACGCCTAGAGCAGCAGTGAATCAAACAAAGCAGATGGTGTTTTTTCTCATCGTTTTCAGAGAGATCGATTACAGAGTGCAGAAAAAGTAAGAATGATTATTTTTCTTGTACACCCTTCGTAAATGGGCGACCAACTTATATATATATAGGCGAAGCACGACTATATAGACATATCATTTACATACCTGCTGAAGTTTAGCCGTCACTCTGTCGTATAACGTCGAAGTGCCAAAGATGATAATGCAGAAATTCAGTGGATTCATTTGTTTAATTATTGTATGGATGCTGACAGCAACAATCTATATGGTGCAGAGCAAACAAATAACTCGAACACCTGAATGTGATAATGTTTACGCTACTTGTCGTGATGAAGCTGATCGTCGTCTTATTGCTAAAGGTTGTCGTTATTGTTATCCTCATGGCGGATGTACTGTTAATAACTCTGATGATTGTAATAATCTTCGTGCTGATCTTATCACTAATTGTAATGCCGCTGCTGCTCTGTGTATCGGTATTGGCAAATAAGGTAGTTATTATGTGTCAGTACATTGATGTAATAGTAGCTCATAAAAAGAATGTTGTTGACGTTGAATTTTTCCATTACTGTATAATATAATGAAAAATCGAATGATTTTCTTTGATATCAATAGCATAAGTTTTTAAGGATTCTCAGATGACTTAAAAGGTTTTGATATATCCAGCTTTGTAGAACTCGGCGAGCTTTAATGAGCCATGGGACTGGTTTGTTTTAATATTATTTTTAGAACAAAAACAAAAGAAGTACGAAAAATACACAAGTCCAATATTTTATCTACTCATTTGATACATGAATAAACAGAAATTTTGATGGTTGTGAATTTATTGAAAGACTGCAAGTGTGTGTATGCATGAATTATGCACTTTGCAATCCACTATTCAAATATCTTAATACGTTTTTCTCCATCAATTAAAGTATTCAAGAGGAAACTCAATGCAAATGCAATCTTGTTTTTTTTATTTCATAATATTACACGCTTCAGTTCAGTTCAGCGTAGGAATTTTAAAATTAGATGTTACTCGAACATCGAATGCGGAAGCAATAGTGTTTTGGAATTTGGCAGCCAAGATCAGACCTCTCAAAACGCTACTAGGTGATTTTCTAAACCTATCTAGTTTTTTGGGTAAAGGGCTATATCGATGATTCACACACCGTCAGATCGGCCAACACGCCAGCTTTAAAAGTATATAGACTCAGTATGATCGGTTACCTATAGTCCATCCGTTTTCAAGGCTACCAATAGTCACCGGGTGCCTGTTCTGAGACTCGCAAGAAATCCGACACAACACCCGAGCCGCGGAAAATCAAGGTCTCACTTGACTCTCATTTTGAAGAGGATACCTTGGGCTATCATAGCATGGAAGAAAACCAATACAATCCCATTGAAAATTTTTCCACACGGCCTGGTTTTCCAAAGATCTCCTCGCTGTTTCTCTTTGATTTTAAGTAAAAGCCGTTTTTCTCAGCAACGAAAACAAATTTTGAAAAAGCTCTATATACTTTTAAAGCTGGCGTATTGGCCGATTTGACGGTGTGTGAATCATCGATATAGCCCTTCACCCAAAAAACTAGATAGGTTTACAAAATCACCTAGTAGTGTTTTGAGAGGTCTGATCTTGGCTGCCAAATTCCAAAAGACTACTGCTTCCACATTCGATTCAAAATCATTTTTAGAATCAGTTTTGGATCAGCTGTGTTAGAAAAGAATAGTTTGAAAACTTGAAAAGAACCTTATAGGAAGACATTCGAGTGACTTGAAAAACAGAGACATTTTTCGAAAAATCGGACTCTCAAGTTTTTAAGGCTTTTCCACCTGAAAAAATGTTTTGAAAAGCTAAAACCAACTTTTTCCTACTCAGTTCGATGCCCTCTTTCGAATAGTGTATGATTTAGTCGAAAGCGAGATAGTGCTCACCTTTTGAATTTCCCGCACCTTACGAATCCGCACACATTGCTATCAGCATGTAGCTTGCATCTTTTTAGTCTGAGGAGGAACCTTTTCTAGTTTTTGATCAGTTTTCATGTTAGAGATAAAAACGTATTCGCAGTTTGCACATATCAATTCAATGCAATAAGCAGTTTGCAGATTTTTCGACCTAGAGGGGGACTTTTTTCAACGTCGGATAATTATCGTAGTTACCCATTTACGAATTCTCACATTTTCGTACGAATTGATTGCAATGTGCAAAGTGCACGCTATTTGCAGGTTTTTTGACCCAGAGGAAAAAGCTTTTTGCCTTTGATCTAATTTAACAACTATGAACTTGCGAATTCTCAGATTTTATATACGAATTATTTGCGAAGGAAAACATGAAGACGAAAACAAAAATTTTAGTAGTCCTTCACTTTTTCTTCGACTTTTTGGCTACACTTACATGAATGCGTGAAGCACTTGTTTCTCTTGAATTTGAT